ATTTTAGTGATACAAGTTTTACTAATTAACCCATAGCTGAGGGGAAAAGAGGTGGATTCATACATCTCCCAAGGGTATTTAAACATGAGTGAATATAACAAACCAGACTGGAACTGGAACTCAGCTCACCAATTAACAATTCCGAGCCATTATTCATTACACCACCTGCACATCCAAACTTACAGTACCTGGTATTTCCAAGTGGTTACCCATTTAGGTTCCGACCAGATTTGATATTGCTTAACTTCGGTGATCAAATGGGAAGTTACCTTAAGAAGAAATGATGATTTTAATAAAGAGTTCTGAATAATTTTGCCATTAGACCCACTATGAAAGTTGAACTCAGGATGTTTACCTCTATGAACAGTAACTGAATGAAAAAGATTATGCCAAGTATTCCAAGCTTAGTTTTTTTGTTTTTTTTATCAGAACTTGATCAAAAGAGATGTGAGAAAAATGTCAAAAAGAGTTTTTAACCAATCAGAGTGACTCCCACATTTTTCAAAAACAGACACCGGGAGCCACTTTACTTCAATAAATACCCATGGAAAAAGACACACAGGACAATTTTCAAATGAAACTATTTCACTTTGAACAATAATTCAATTATTATGTTTGTCTTCAGGGCCAGCACTAGAGTCACAATGAAACTTTGATAAGGGCCCCACTCTCTGCTACATGTCGATTTCAAAGATTTCCCAATCATTTTTTCAGTTTTATCTTTCTAGAAATGTAAAAAATAGGGACTAGAATTTTTTTATTTTACTAGCTGTGAACTTTATTATTAAAAAAAAATCAGAGAGCCTGCTTAGTGGATGATCTTGGAATAAAAAATGATTTTACAGAGATATATTACCCTCTTAATTGATTTAAAAGAACTGTTCAGATAGAAAATTACAATTTAAAAAAATAAGCTCTACTGAAATTAGCACTTCTGTCCCTCACTCCCAAATAGACATGGGAGCCCCATGCTGTTGAGAGGTTTGGGGTAGTAAGCACTGGCCATGTTGATTATTAATGTTGATGATTGATAATATTATTTAGATAGAACAGAAGTAAAAAGTACAAAAAGCCAAAAAAATGCTGCTGGAAGGTTCCAACATTGTCAGGTGTTCTTGCATAGTATGCACTGCACTGGCCATACAGATGTATGGTGTATTATTTGATGGCTGACAATATAACATCAGTTTAAAAATAATTAAAAAAATGGCAGATGGCCATAAAAAAGTGCTAAAAAAATGACAGAGAACACAACGGAGCCACCCGAAATGTCTCCACTCAGTGGTTTCAGGCATAAGACATGCTGATCCTGTCTGTCTTACACAATAGGCACAAGTAATGTAACAAAAATATACTAGAAAACATTTCACAGGAACTTTTATGATCATGTCATTTTCTTAAACAAAACAAAACTCTTCCCATCTTCTAACAAGAACTTATCAGTTTTTGTCAGATATTTCTTGTTTCAAACAATGATATTTTATTTTTAAGTGTGCATCTCTTTTCTGAATTATGAAATGTTATTTCTACTCATTAAACATGTCTACTTTCTTCTCTCATTTTTCTTATTTTGAAATGGACACTCTTTGTGAGTCCTTGACTGTGCTACAAGGGAAAAAGCAAATAATGCAAAGGCCTAACTTTATTGAAAGGGCTAGATAGTTTTTATAATCTCACCCCACAATGGCATATACCATTTGCAGGAGAATTTATTTATAGAGTCAGCTAATTAAACATCACCCTTTCTGCAACATCAAATAATTGCTAATTTTGTTTTCAACCTCTTTCTTTATTGTTTGAGATTTCATTTTTTGATAGTTGCCTTATTTTATCAGATGTAAGTCAGTAAAAAATCAGATTTTATTCTTATGAAGAAAACAATGGTTTTATTCTTACCACTTTGTCTTATCGCATAAAGTTTCTCTTGAGCAAAATTGTGTGTCAAATTGTAGAATTTTTAACTGACTTCTATTGAAACAAATAAAACATAAAAATAAAATGAAAAAGATTTGTCAGGTTGCTGACAAAAATAGCCATTTCATTAGAATATTTATTTACACACCTATTCAAGCATAAGTTCACACAAGTTTGGACTTAAAATGAGATTTGGTAGCCATACAAGAAATGCTCAAACCCCCTCAACACTTCACATTTTAGGGAGTGCAAGGTAACTTTGACATAGGATATTAGAATAATCAAGAACCTATACTGGCAGTAAACCACCTGCATACAGATAGAAAATTAATTCAGTAAATATACAAAAATAGATAGGATGAGTCTTCTCACCAGATTAGTTCAGTCTATACAGTCTGGTGATTCTTAGAGAACAAGAAGTCCTGCCAGGATTTATTATCAGCAGCCACAACCTTAGCAATATAAGATATGCAGATGACACAGTCTTGATAGCAGACACAGAAAGGAGACTACAAAAACTTCTAGGGGAGTTATAACTCTGAGTAAATCATTATAAACTTCCTAATATTTATATATATATATATATATATATATATATATATATATAAATATAAAATCAAAATAAGAAAAAAACAAGATGAGTATTATTTATTATCTAGTTGTTATATGGTGTTGGAGACATGAAAGGCAATAATACTGAGTAAAATTTCGAGTTTGGGATTAAATGTAGATCAAATATGAATTGGAATCTGACAGAATGATAAGATAAAGAATAATTGTATACAGTCTTTCTTGTATGTTTTTTTTTTTATAGATGTGTGTAATGAGTGTTCGGATAATTTAGTTGTAAAATAAAAGAAGTGTCTGGTGTTTTCTTACATCAAATTTTTGTTGACTGCTCAGAGATAAATGTTGTTATTATGGCCTAAAAAAGGAAAAGGAACCAAAATTTTTGTTGATGAACATGTTAACAGCCTATCCATGTTGACTGCCTGTCCAATAGTGAAATTGTCACGTGTTTGTGTGTGTAGAGGAGAAAAGTGTTTTTTTTTTTTTCATTGGTTTAGAATGAGTGAATTAATGATAATTATAATTTTTATAATTATTTTATTATAATTATTTTTGACACTATAATTAATTCTTATTTATTTATTTTTTATGGACATGGCACAGTGATAGTGTTGGGGATGTGCAGAATTAATTGTAATTGAGTGAATCAGAAGGAATTTGTGTAGGTTGCGTGACTTTCTGCATCCACAAACAAATAAATAAACAAATTTTAAATACAATCAAAAACAAGACATATCCAATTTAGAAACCAACAAAACATTTATATACAATTAAAAGTAATATATATACAGGATATTTTGGTATATGTTACTATGGCAAAGTGTGTGTGATATTTGAGGTTTCGGTATGTCTCTTTTTGTATTTGTATGTTCAGTTACAGTCTTTCTGGAATTGTGTTAATTAATATTAAAAAAGTTGATGTTAAGAGTTTTTAGGAATGAGTTCTTATAGAGTGGTCTACCTTTGACTGTAATATTTCTGAATCGTTCGAATGTTGATTTTTACTTAATAATGTAGTGAGTATAGTTCACTTTGGATAAGCAAAGTTGTTTTAGGTTTGTGATTTGATGTCCACAGAGTTGGTCGAGTTTAAATTGCAAGTGAGTCAGCGTTGATGTACTTTTGCGCGGTAAAGTCGTGATTTCGAGTGACGTGGAGTATGTTGGCAATTTCTCTGTGGATGTTCATCTCTGACCCTTTTGGTCAGTCGGTGTTTTCTTTTATATGTTTTGAAAGTCCAAAATCGGCTCAAAGAAGTTTTGGCGCAATTTTGTTTTGCACATGAAACTTTCAGATTATTGTGTCGTTAACCAATGAGATTTGTTGATTTGCCTAGTACGTTTTTTTATTGGTCGAAGTTTTCCGTACATAGGCGTAAGGTATAGACTGTTCTGTTACTAGGGGTGATAGGTAGAAAAGGACAATCTACAATAGTATAATCCATTTTTTATTTATGTATGTCTTTATAGACACAACCAACTCCTACAGAGGGTAATAAAGGAAAATGAGAAGAAAGTACTAAATATCAATTGCAAAAAGATCAAATGCATAGTTGTTAGCAAAATTACAAATTGGAAATACCAAAATCAAACATGTATAACAATTTAAATATCTGTGAAGTGTTTTAACAGTGGACGGAAAGTGCAACACTGTAATCCGAAGGTGCATTGGGATAGTGAAAGGTATCTTCCAAAAGCAAAGTAACAGAAAAATTTTGTTAGAAACAAAGAAAAAAGTACTGAACTATTATGTAATATTAGTCTTCCTATATGGCAGTGAATGCTGCGCAATATCTGTGCAGCTGGAGATGAGACTTGAAGCAAAAGAAATGTGGTTCTACAGAAGGATGCTGAGAATCCCATGGACTGAACATGTGAGCAACATTGAAGTTGGAGAGAAAATGGAAAAAAAGATACTTATACTTGACAAAGAAAGTGATAGTTAAAATTTCTAGAGCACATAATGAGGAAAGAGGACTTGGAAAAATTGATACTCTAGAGATGGCTGGTAGAACAAGAAGAAGATCAAGTTATTATTCGTCATGTGAAATCCCTCTCTTGAGGGGTCAGGTACACATTCGGATACTTGCCGGTCACAGAGATCCGTCCCTACGCTGGTAGTATCACAGCTATGACTAGCTTGGATCAGCTTGGCCAAGCTATGACCAGCTAAGACACTCGGGTCCCCACATTAAAAACCGACCTTGTGTCACAAAACTGACTTGGGGCGGGGGTTAAACCATGATCAATCATATTCATTTACAATCACCATAGTAACACGAAACGTTCAAGCGGAAGTTACATGTGTCACGTGACGAGAACTCTTTAGGTGACTGAAATTATTTTTCTGATTTTGATGGTGGCAGTTGTTGTTTTCGTCGGATTGCTCAAGTTTTATTATTCATTGCAAAAATGCCTAAAGTTGTGTCTCGAAGTGTTGTTTGTACAGACACTAAAGATCAAGAAGAATACCAAGGAGAAAAACCATTATATATTTACTACTGTATATGTGGACAAATGTCGTTGATCTTGGGTAGGTCAATAAAATGTGACTTTTCTTGAAGCTTCTTGCTTGACGCTGTGGTAAATTTGATTTCTCTGCAAATTAATATTCTATATATATATATATATATATATATATATATAATTTTTACATACGGACAAAAACAACTTGTTCACTAAAAAATGTATGTAAAAAAATATAATAAATAATTTACTCTACTCTTGGTATTGAGCCCTCTTGAATTAATGCTGTGATGAACGTTAGAATTTATTATTTTCGTTCTCGTTACGTTACGTTCGGATAATAGTTTAAGTATTTTTTTTTATATTTGCGTTCGTGAAATCGAATTCATATGATAAAACCGGATGTTTGTGAAAAGTTTTCATGTGTGCAGAAGTCAGTCACGTTTATTTTAAGTTTTTAAAAGCAAGCTATTGATTGATGTTTTTAAAAATTGATTATCAAAATTTATTTTATTCTCACCTTTTTTTTTGTCTTTTATTTTATCTCTTGAAAATCTTATGTTATGATTTAGGATATGTTAAAATATTTATTTTTTAATTTTTCCACAACGCAATGAGTATAAAATAAAAAAAATACTAAAGAAAGATTTTTATTTTAGGACTAGTCACTAGTCTCTGTTTTTGTTACTAAAGTGGACCTTCGTCTGTTCAAACTCATTGTTAAAATCTAACCAAATGAAATATTTTTTTGGAGGGAAATCCTTTTTTGGTCGAGGTGAGAACTTTTTACTACTCTCTAAATAACCTTGTTAAAAATAAAATCAATATGGACATTATGAGTGATCTGAAAACAAAACCTCATCCCATAATTATTTGATGTTCTTTTAAAAGTTTTTTTAAGAGTACATTGCAAAAAAAGGTATTTCATTAAAGAATTCTTGCCATATCATTTAAGAAGACCAAGGTTATAAATTAATATTAATAATAATTTAAATATTTTCTATTATTATGTTAATAATGAAGTTGGTTTTTTGATCACATAAAAAAGGAAATTTCACATTATTAAATAATTTTATTTAACATCTATTACTTAAAAAACAAAATCTCTCTTCCTTAAGAAAAGAAAAGTTGTATAAGTCCAGAGTAATTTTGAGGCTAGTGCTACTTATTTTCTAATATTTTTAAAACCAATTTCTCCCATATTTTAGGAGTTTGTTAGTTAGGGTAACAAATGCAAGGTAGGATTTTTACTTGATTCTGAAAAGTTATGACTTTCGCTATAAAACAGTACAAAAAAATTCATTTTGTATTCATGCTTCTTAAGGAAAAAAAAGTTCTTATGGACACAAAAAAAAGTAAAATTCTATTTTAAATACACTGGATTTTCAGGTTGTAAGCTTTATAGTTTCTGAAAGTTTTTTCAAAACCCGACAATTTTTTTATTTTTGCAAGATTTTCCAAATTAATGTCTGTCACAGTCACTGCAAAAAAGAATGCATTAAAATTTGCTATGAGTGACAGACGCAAAGAGAAACAAGATTATTTTAAATTTAATCAAAAGTTAGAATGTTTTAAAATGGATGGAAAAATTTAATAAAATAACCAAAAATACTTTCATATTTCCTCTTAATAGCATAACATTTTGACGATAAATCTTTGTTTTCATCAAGTTTAAGACCATTTTTATCATGGTTATTTAACGATTTAGTAAAGATCCCTACAATACATCATCATGGTATTAGCTGGGAAGAATCCTCAAACTGTGTTCAAGCATATCTAAAAAAATATAAAACTCTTAAATTGTTTCAGATTACTTTCTGTAAGTTATGCTGAGCTAAAATTGGTTTTTGTCGTTGCAGATTGTCCAATGGATAAGCTTCCTTTACGAAAGAGGGATGGAGCACGAGTTATTGACAGCCAAAAACATGCACACAAGTTAACCTACGACCCTGATGACATTGTCTACCTAAGAAGGTGGAGACATTATTGCTTTTTTTTCTTGACCCTCTTTATTGATAATTTCTTATTTCTGCTGTGGTCTATAGCATCTTATATTCTTGTAGCCTTCAATTATATAAGTTGAAGATTTCTGATATCCTTTCCATGTAGACCAAGCTTTTCTAAGAGTTCATGTACATTATTGAATGCCTTTTTGCAATCTATGGGACAGATATTTCAGTTGCTTGTTCTGATTGTGAAAATTTCATTTTTTTTATTTATTGCATCTTGATCTAAAACCACATTGTTCTTTCCTTATTTCCAGTTTTGTTAGAATCCTAATTATTAATTTTGTTATACATTATTTACATTATTCGGACTATCATCCTCATCTTTGTTGCCATATTTATCATGTTTCAGCCATTGTACGCTCTGGCTTTCTTTAGGTGGTTGGAATATCGAACTGAACCCTTTATTTTGCTCACTGGGGTAGACTGTTATAGTTTCATGTGCCATGTCTAATGGATGTCATTTATCAGTTATCTCCTGTTAATTCCCCTCTCCAAGATCTCCACTGCCTTAACCAGGTATTGAACTCACAACTCTTTGGGTCCTGTCACTGGATCTAACCAATGACTTTATCCACTGTGTCATGTGTCCTTTAGGATCCTTAAAAATCTGTATATGAATTTCTGGGACTTATAAACTTAATGTCTTCAGCAACCATTTTTACCAGTGCTCATATTGCAATTTTTGCTGTTATCATTGCATGTTTTTTTACCAGAGCTCATATTGCAATTTTCATTGTTATTATTGCTTTTCTCTGGCACTCCTTATTACTGGTTCCCATATTTATTCATTTCTATGCTTGGTTGGTTCAGGAGATTTATGTGGCCTAGCATATGTGCAGATTTCTTAAGTTTATGAATTTTCCAATTTTTCTTTGTTTATGATTTCAACCTGATCCCACAGAGGGCAGTGATCTCCCTTTTCTCTCCATTATCTGTCTATATTTCTGAGATGAGGTATTATGTACACTATATACATTATTCAGACTATCGTCCTCATCTTTGTTGCCATATTTATCACAACGTTTCAGCCGCATATGGAGAGAAAAGGAAGATCACTGCCCTCTGTGGGATCAGGTTGAAATCATAGACAAAGAAAAACATCTGAATAATGTAAATAGTGTTCATAATACCTCATCTCAGAAATATAGACAGATAATTTTATGTTTTCTGTCATTTGATTGTTTGATGAAGTTCACATACATTTGCACCTGGCTTCTTTAGCAACACTATGAAAATTAAAACTCTCATCTGGTTCTTTTGTTTTGTTCTCCAGGTGAAACAGAACAATGTTAGTGCTGTTTCTGCATCTTTCTTTTTTTTAACTCCAACCCTAACCTTGAAGACAGTGTGAATAGTGGAAAACTCAGATCTCAGTGCTGTTGTAGATTAACAATACTTAGATTTATTGAAAAACAAGTTTTGTGCCTTCTGCTATGGATATTATTGAAAATAACAAGTGTGGTTCAAAAATCTGCTACAATGGGTTCATATATACTGAACATGTCACTTGGAAAATCAATTTGTAACTTTTTTCTTAGCCAAGATTGTGACTTTATTACCAGCCACAGTTCCCTTTTACTATTGGTGTTTTTACTTTAGATTTTGTTAACTTGATACAATTACAGAAATTAAAAAAAAAACTCAATTCATATAATAAAGTGAAAATTTAATGTAAATTAATATTTGGCTTTTAATCCTAAGCTGAAGAAAAGATTTTTAAAGATACAATTTCTGAGTTGATAAAATATCTTGTTTTACAGATCTGAAGGAATTGAGAAACAATACAGACAAAAATGTAAAAGGTAAGAACAATTGATCTTTTTAAAAAAACCTTGATTAATTGTTACTTTCCTAACAAACACTCATTATTTACAACTCATAAAACTCTTTCCACCATAGTTGATAACAAACCCAATACATATGTGTATCAAAGTTTTTATATTTTTTTCAAAAAATGTACTAAATATGAGAAATATGTATCTTTATTTAGCACTTACCTCTTTGCATACAATAGACCAAAAAACAAATCAAATCCTGTTAAAAAAAAAAATAAACAAACAAAAAGAATTTGTAAAATATTTAAAATCCAAGTTCTTTCCCAATAACTGAGATATGAATATCTGTGTCCACTATAATCAAGTTATGTCAACCTTGTTCTTATGAAGTCATAAACCTAAAGGATAAAATTGTGTCCTTGATGTGTTCTGTCAGATGCAAGATAAACGCTTTATCTTTTTAACTTGAAAATTTCTTTATAAAGAATAGGTAATATTTTACTTTTCTTTTTAAAGACATCACATTTACAAGGTGTGATAGGTAAACTGTCGCCATGTTATATTTTTAATTTTGCATATGCACGTTGTTTATTTTTGATTTTGTTGACTGCACAGTATAATAGTCAGTTGGGTACTATCTGCAAGAAAAAGGGCACCATGATACAAATCACTCTACCAGATATTTGGAAATGGCATGCTGTACTGCTTGGCATTCATGCCAGAAGTTCCAATACAAACATTTCAGAGTGTTTGGGTGTCAATCTGAGAACAGTGCAGAGGATTTGGAAAAAGTTGGATGAATCTAATAGTAACTACAAAGGTATTTGGAGTTATCACTAATGATGGCAATGTTATGCCTCCATTCATCTTCCCACAGGGCCTCAGACTGAACACAGAGGCCTACATCAAGTGCCTTGAGGAGGTAGTGCTGCCCTGGGTGAAGAGGGTGGCTGCTCAAAGACCTTATGTTTGGAGCAGGACTTTACACCATGCCACACAAGCAGGAGAACCCAGTCATGGCTATTAGACAATTTCTGTGACCACATCAGCCCTTACATCTGGTTGTCTAACTCCCCAGGCTGCAACCTCTTGTTTGATGTTTGGGGTGCAGTGGAGCAAGATAACAGCAAAACTCCTTGTAATACCAAAGATAAACTGAAGGCAAAGATTATGGTAGCATTCACCAAGGAGACTGTCCAGAAGAGTTACAATGTTCTGAAGTCATCTGGAGGCTGTGGTTGAAGCCAATGGCGATTTTATTGAATAAATTAAATCTTCAGTATTTCAAGATATTTTTGTGTAATTTTGATAAATATATCTGCTGAAATGAGATGTCAGTGCTGTTTTTATTTTTGTATAATTTAGTCGACAATTATACATTTCACCCTGCATATTAGTATAATAAATAAAAAAGATAGAGTACATTTTCAAACTTAGATTTCAATTTTATTTTTAAATATGTTTCTGTTGTTTTTCTTTTAAGGTGTGGTTTGTGGTTATATTATCATCATCAAGGAAAAAGTAATGTGATGTTTATTGTTGAAGATGCACTTAGAAAAGCTGGAGAAGGTGTAAAAACTGATGTCTATAGTCAAATTTCAAAACCGAAAAAGGTAATTTATTTTTCCTTTAATATGGAACCTGGAAAAAAAAGCCAATTTGAAATTACCACAATGTTTAAAGTAGTTAATAAGGCCATGTATTTTATTCATTTTTGTTTTTAGTTGTTAGATTTACAAATTATCTGTTAAGAAAATGAGATTTTTTTGTGTGGCAGGTTTTGATCTTGTGGACTTCATCAGGCTTAAATGATATTTATGTTCATATAACTACACATGTACATGAAGGAGAGGGGATGCTGAAATTGTAATTTATTAAATTTAAATGTGTTTAGTTATATAGTCTAGCCAATTTAATTTTTTTATTTATTTATCACTCTTGTTATTAATATCCCAATTTGTGATAATAGAAAATCTGCCAAGATAAACCTACATGGCAAAATTTGCTGTGGATGATCTAGCAATTAAAGCACTATGTTCATCTTAGTAAATTGCTCTCTCTTTTAAATCAAAATTATGGTTAGACTCATTATGGTGAGCAACTAATACACTGAGTGTGTTATTTTGTAAAAGATCTCTTTTGTGTTCATATAATCTTTTATTTAAATTCCTTGTTTCTCCTATCAATTTCTTGTGGTAATCATTTCAGATGATTGAGCAAATTTCTCCTTCAAGTTTTAGCTTATTATTATTTTGTTTTGTATTAAGCCTTTTATTGTTTTAATAGTTGTAATAAATTTTATGTTAAGCTTAAAAAATTCTTTTCAGTTGTAGTTGTGATAGTTGGTAGAATAATATATTTTGATTTGTTGGGTTTTTCAGAATGGTTCATTCAAATATTTTATGAGCTTTTTGTTTCACATTGAATATGAAATAAATAGGGTATTGAAGGATCTTAAAAGTATTTCCAATCTATTTCTCCTCTTCATATAAATATTGAGGACTATAAAATCTGATAATTATTCACATGAAAAAGTTTTTCCACTTTGTCATTTTTTTTCTTAACATTGTTCGGGTATATAAAAATTTATATCTCCTTTTCTTCAAAGCTGTGTGTTAAAATAACTGAATAAATCAATTGAAATTTCTTGTTTACATTAATAACAGTTGTAGCATTTAAGATTTTTGCTTCCTTAATCCAACTGCAGTCCTTTTTCTCTTGCCCTATTATCATTACATAGATTATACTGGCCACCAAGATTGTCTTCTCAGGTCAATATTATCAAGACAAATCGACCATGGTGAGATTCAAACATGTTTCATGGTTAGAATACTAATGTTTTAACCAATCAGCCACAGGCCCATTCCATTAGGAAGTTCCTGAAAACCATATCATGCTTTGACCCAAGCCTTGTATGTGAAATTGGGTAGATGAGAAACTGTAACTATGCTCTTCTCAGCAGTTGCAGTATAAACCACTGGTTGTCTCTGTGGTGGTTGAAGAAAGACTATTTGAGCAGGTGTTTGAAACAGTAGGTGTTTGCTAGCCATTCTAGCAGATGGATAAGCTCGGATAACAGGTAACCAGCCTACCATCTCACCTGAATTACATTTTACTGTACATTTTTTTTTTTATTAAAAGCAATTGCATTCATTTTAAAATCTCAGATTTAAGTGAAGGGTCTACTGCTATAGATTATTATATCAATTGTTAAGGAATATACAATTTTGTGAATTTGCTGAGAGAAAAAATTAGCAAGAACCCTCCACCTGGGTCAACATTAAATATTACATGAGTAAATAAAAAACTTTTTTATTTCATATTTTTGAATATATAATCTATAAATTGATGTGTTTGTATATATTTTTAAATTCTATTTGCAGGTGACATTAACGAAACACACTAAAAATATGGGCAAATTCAGTTCTGTGACAGTTTCTACAGTTGATGAAGAAGAAGAAGAAATAGAAGCGGTAAGGAAGTGACAAACGTTCTTCTTTTTGGAAAAATATAATAACGGTCATTAAAACTAATTTAAATACTTCATTGTTCAGCAGAAATTTTAGGCAAGGATTACATTCTATTGGTGATACATACAAACATTTATGTGACAAAAAAAAAAAACTTTGAAAATGTGTATCATTTTCCAATGCCTGATTTTTTTTTTGAACTTTTGTTTTTGAAACAGTAGCAGTTGGTAATTTTGCTATAGAAAAAAAAACAAATTCATTATTGGTGATAATTTGTTTTGTTTACAATCAGCATTTTTAAGAAACACCAACACCAAAGAACTATATAAATTCAAGTTGTTTAACATCTCTAAGTAGACTGCAATGAACTTATTTCAAACTTATTGCTTATCGTAAAATAGATGTCTCAAAATATTGATGCTAAGTCTAAATATTTAAATGTAAAAAAAGTCAATATTTAAATTTTAATCTTAAAAGTTTTACTTATAAAATATATACTGACCATTGAAGTCCAGTGTTACTATCTTGTAGTTGTCAGTAGTTCAATCCCTGGAACAGCTACTGAAACAATATACATGACAGGGACAAAAATAACAATTGACCCATAATATATCATATAGCTAAAATGGACACATGAACAAAACATTGTAACAATCAAAGATGAGAACAATAATTTGAATAAATCAATAGAACCGGGTATGACGGCAACAAGGTCTCTGATTGGGAGATTAGAGATTTTGAGGAGCGTGGAACCACCACTTGGTTGCTGCTGTTCCTAGGTCCACCCTGACCTGGGGTGGTAGCGCTTACTAGAATTTCTGCTATAGGAAAATAGTGAAGGCCCAAACAAAAATCAAAACACTAAGATAGTATAAAATAACAGCAATACATTTCTGTAGTGCAATGACCAGCAATACATTTTATAGGAGAATTATCAACAATACATTTTTATAGCAAAATTGAAGACATGGCATACATTGTCAAAAAAATGCTATGATTAATTTCATTTCTTATAAGGAGAAACAAGCTTTCACTCCTTATTTGGTTTTGTAAGATTATTTGGTTAAAAGAAATGTAGCTAAGTAATTATAATTTAACCATGAAGTAATATTCTCTTGAATTATAAAATTTAAATTTTCATATTTAGATTTTAGTAATGACCTTTATGTGTTGATATGCTGCTAAACAAAAATAACCAATCATTTAATAAATCAAAATATGCCAGTGAAGATGTTGAAAAAAAAAACTTTATATTAAAGTAGTAATAAAACCCACACTCAGAATAATTTATTTTTGTTTGCAATCATTTTTTTCCTTAGAAAATCCTTTATTATATTTGCAGAAAGAGATTGCTGATTCTTATGCTGCTAATGCTAAAGTGATTGAGAAACAATTGCTGAGGAAAGGAATGAGCAAAAGAAAATTGATGGAACAGGTAACAGTTTTTTTTTTTTTCAATTAAAAATTGTGCACCTATGGCAGATAAATTTTTCATCAAATGTTCTATATTCCATTTGAGATGGGATGTGGATGTTTTATTTTGTGTAATTTTCTTTTTGTCTTAAAAGAATCAAACTTTTAGCAAAATATAAACAATGTACCCAGCTGTGTAGAATAAAATTTCACGACTGAAAACATTTGGATTACTTTATCATTGCCTTATAATTAGAAGATGAAAAATAATTACAAGTCTGTATCGTGAATGTCTAGTTGTAAAATATACAAACAAGTAATTTTAAAATATGTTATGTAAACTTGTTTGTCAACAGCTTTTTGATTACTTTAAGATTTATAATGTACTGTTACCAAGCAAGTTATTTCCCTTACATTTGTTCACCAAATAACGTTTAACATCCAAGTAGATTTTTAAATTTTAGGCATTTTTTTTTGTTCTCAAAGCGTTATTAATTATTCACTGAATACTTTATTATATACTGTTTGATCTTGAGAGAATGTGTAAAACATATTGATTCTTTTGTACATAATCAACATTTCTTTGTAACTATATATCTTTCTGTTAGTATTGTGAGGTTTGAACACTACCACAAAATGTTTTTTTCTTAGTGCTTGACAAGTGAGATGTTCATGAACAAATTATTGTAGTTAATTGTTCATGAGCTTCTGGTTTTAGTCATCATATTTGTGTGAATTACAAGTATGTGACCATAAAGTAAAGACTGATATAATTGTAGTAGAAACTCATGCAAAGGTCAGAGTAACCTTCATGTTCATTACTTGGAATGTGAAAAACAGTTGAATGGATGTCAGATTGATTGTTAATTTGTTTTTACAAAAATCATACTAAAACTAAAATGAAACCTATATTTTCATATTTTTGATGTCAGCCTTTTCACTTATCAAAACTAGAAAGAACATTTAAGACAGTATATATCTATAATATTTTAAAGGGGGGTGTTTCAAATAACTTATAGTAACAATGTTCCACGGTACTAACAGTAAGCCAAGCCATTTATATCTTATTGTAGGAAAAATAATGTCCTAAATGGTAAATCAATAACAATGTTGCTTTGTTCTTTAAAACTTATTCCTTTTGCACAAAACAGATTTTTGAAAAAGTTTTAAATTAAAATGAATATACTTTCTTCGTTTTATTTTTTTAATTATTCAGGCTGAAGAAGAAGCAAAGAAGAGACCAAAAGGCACTTTAATTGACAAATGAACAAAGATCGATCAAGAATACTTAGCAAGAAAATCACAAGTAATCAAGTGAAATAATCAAATTTTCATGGCTACAAGCATGAATGTCTAAAGAAAAAGATGCTTTTCCAATTGAAATATCACATCAGATTTTGTCAGAATCCAAGGCTCAAAAAAAAAAAAAAAAAAGTGGGGTTTACTGAAATTGTATTCCAAACCATTTAAACGACATATTACAGTAAGACTTGGAGAGTAGCATTTTGAATATAACAACTTGATTGAGGTGGAAAGAAACTGTATATTTATTATTTTCATATTTTTATACATAAAAAAAATAAAGTAAATTATTTTTCTTTTGAAGGCTCCAGTGTCATTTAGATGAAACACCATATTACATACTTGAGATGAGATTTTTTTGTAGATAATATTTTACCCCAAATAATGTCAGTTTGTGTGGAAAACAATAGAATTGCATTGTTCAGAACATTTGGCCTATTATTTTCAAAATTATTTTTAGTTAAGTGTATTTTACATATGCTAACAAATATTAGCCCAGTTTTTAAATTTAAGAACTGCATTTAATCAGTAATTGTATATTTATGTAGCAGTTTAATTTCCCAGAAAACATTGACACTTTGTAAAAAGCTGAACTCTGTTTAGAATAACAGACATATCTTATTTCTGGGATTTACAGGACTTTACTTTCCTTTATTGTTATTAAGTAAGTTTGAGTCATTCTACAAAATTAAAAACCAGATTATACAATTTTTTTTCTTAATAGTGACCATAATATATCTTATTCATAAAATCAAAAGCTTTTCTAATTAAATAATGTCTTAGTTTCATTGCATTTTTATTTAACAATTTAGAACACCTTTTCAGTAACTTGGGTCCTGTTTTACAAAAAAAAATTTTAATTCTTCAAGTACTTCTGGTTATAACTAATATAAACATGAAACCATACAAAAATGAATTTCGCAAAATTTCATAATTAAATGGAGGTAACAGATGTAAAATATATATATATTTACCAAACTTTTATTTAAAAAAAAAAAAAAAGTTTCTAAAATAATTTAATCCATTTCTGATTAAGTCCTAAAAGTTTCATTAAAATCTGACAATTATTTGATTTTTGCAAGAATTTCCAAATCAGTGTTTTTCACTGCAAAATGATACTAAAGTTTCCTGTACTAATTTATGGACACCTGTTGACTCAAAAAAAATTTTTAATAAAAATTTTGAAGTTTCTAATTGAAACTTCCAATAAATATAACATCAAAATATAATGGAAATTCTTTATGGCTTTATATAAAATGTAAACTAGGCCTGCACTATAAAAAAAAAATATGAAGGGTCATGTTACTTGCAGAAACTTAGCTGCAGACTGCAAGGGTAAATGGCACAAATGCACAAACATACCAAAGGAGACATGTCTTAATCAAGAACAAAGGTTATGCATCGTTTTTTTGGTAATGCATAAGCAAGCATTGACCATACCTTTTCTTTTTTTTTAAGATTTATTATAAATCATCAACAATAGATCAGTATTGCAAAAGCTGAATGATTTTTTCTGCACCCTTGTCTCCCTCCCCTTTCATATAGTTTTTTTTTTCAATCCGAGAAAATGCCAGTTCCATGCACACCCTATCCACCAATAATCATCACTTACACAGATGTTTTGAAAGGGTTTCCTCACATTGCTACAGTGGTGAAAATCTGAATTTGATTCAAATCTAGATGAAAACACTGAATAGGATTTTCAGCATATATATATATATATATATATATATATATATATATATATATATATATATATTTAAGACATTTTTATACATTCTTTTTTATACATACAAATATTTAAGTAAATTCTCTGTTTATAATAAACAGTATTAAACATTTACCGGCCTGAATGTCTGAAAAATTTTCACAGAAAATATTCATCCTCTGACAGGATATATTCTGTGAAAATTTCTTGGACATTCAGGCCAGTAAATGTTTAATACTGTTTATTATAAACAGAGCATTTACTTAAATATTTGTATCTATAAAATAATTTATAAACATAAAAATGTCTTAAAATAATTGTTGGACTTTTGCCCATTTCATAATATAAATATATATATATATATATATATATATATATATATATATATATATATGAGAGAAAGGAGGAGGAAGGACAAAATTCTTTTTTCTACAGATAATTACAGGGATTAATTAGATACAAAGGCAGTGGACTATTGGTTGAATAAAGTTATCCTTCCACAAAACTGATCAGTTGGAGAATTTATTCTGATGAACACAAAAAATTCACTATTTTGAAAACCTTTCATAAACTACTGAGTAAGCATTATCCTTTCAGGATAACATCACTCAATCAACCAAATATATGTTATAATGGAAACTCAAGCAAAAGCTCTTTGATATTTAAATGCAATAAACATTCAGTATATGATTATTAGAATAGAAAAGAATTTATTCTTTTTTTAACTCAAAAAAATGTTTGACAGTTTCCATGCAAACATAATTAAATACAAACAAGAGAAAATAAAGTAACCAATGATCAACAAGAGACATTTTATTTATTTACAAAAATTTGAGAATAAGAAAGAAGGACTATTTATAGCAGTTCAAAGATTAAATTATGGAAATAATGGCATGATTTACGAAAATAATTTGATGACTCATTCATTGGAGGAGATTTTGTGTTTTGTCACCCAGCCTGACTCCTTCATGTCTGTCTCCAAAAATCCCTGCAACAAAGAATAATTTTATTAATAAATGAATAAAAATGGCAGGTTTATAATCATCACTACTCCAATAGTTTCCATTTTTTATCTCGTCTTTCATTACTAATAATTAAGTGATAAGTTTTGTGCTTTTCTGATTACAAGAGGATGTGCAGGTGGTTTAATGGATAGTGGCTCGAACTGAGAAATCAAAGAGCCAAGATCTAATGCCAGTTAAGTTCATCACATTCACTTATGCACACTACCCTTGGGAAAGGTATGAATCCCTCAACTATAAGTTAAATAATTGGACAGACTAAATTCTTCAGCCTTGGGTGGAAACCAGTCTAAGAGGACAACAACTTGGAATTCAAAACCGTATGTAAGTATATGTAGCTAATGAAAGGCTTGTGATGTTTATAATGACTACTAGCAGTAGAGCCCGGCATTGCCCAGGGATGTAACAGTAAGAGATAGATCAAGTATCGACCATCATAAAGACTGAAAAATAAAATTGACAAAGATTATTGTTTAAGGTTGACGGACACACGTCTTAATTATTTTTTTTTTTTTTTTTTTTTACGAATTGGTCAAACCCAAACTCAAACAAAAACATTGTTTTTAATTGTTATGAGTCTACCGGTTAAATAGAATTTTATTATAAACAATTGTCTTGTAAATGGAATTTTTAAAGCATTCTGAATGTAAAAATAAAGAAAAAAGTGTGCAAGACAATAAGAAACACTACCTGCCAAAAAAAATTGAAGTTTTGTTGAAATTGGTTGAAAAATGTAGGAAATCCGATCCCATATATAAATGAACACACACACACACAACCTGGGTTTTATAAGTATAACTCGATATGAGTTGTCCCCCTTTCATTAATGCCTCTTAATCGTGTTTTCAAATTGATTTCGTGCAAAAACAATTGTTTTTCCAATTTTTGGCACTGTCAGAACCACTGCAAGGTAATTTTACGTAGTCCTGAGAAGTTTTGTTGAAATTGGTTGAAAAATGTAGGAAATCCGATCCAATATATAAACGTACAGACACACACACAATCTGCGTTTTATAATAAGATGATCCTGACTACAATCAGTCTTGCTTGGTTAGTTTTCTGATTACTACATGAGATGCTATACTGCCCGGGCACTTCATTATTTACAGCTATAATAAACATAGATTGATCTATTAAAAAAACTTGGGTGTTTGTCTTACCTTCATACCACTGCCAACACCATTCAGATCCAGCAAGAAGGTGTCATGGCCATACAAAGAATTTAATTCATAGTATGTTACTGCTTCATTTCCTAGAGGAAAAGGACACAGCAATAAAAAAGGGAAATATGAGAAGAAAATGAGGAAATATGAAAATCATAATTTTGGAAACAAACTAGCAGAAACCAACGTACATTTTGATCAATATCTAACAAAAAGAGTAAAGCACTCAACACTTCTAATTGTACTATAAGAGAGGGCAAAAGAATATGTTCATAATTGATTCTATATTAAAGATATAGTCAACCAATAAAAAGAAATGAAATGTTTAAAAGTCAAAGACAAAGAAAATGATAAGTTGGAAATGTAGATTTAATTTTTTTATGAATTTCTACTTGCTTAACACTTCTGCTGCTGTGAACATATATTTCATTTTCATTGGCTGCTGTTGATAGATTTTTAAGATGCCATCAAATGATATTTGTTCTATAATTAAACTTCTATTTAGTGCTATTTTCAGGCCAATTTAGACAAATTAATGAAAAATACAATCTGTTTTGTGATGTATTTTTATAATATTGTGTTGAGGTTTTTTTTTTTTTTTTTTTTTTTTTTTTTGGCTAAGTCTGCACTGTAGGTTAAAACTAAAATCATGGCAGCCATGAGAAATCACCATTAGTGTCTTATAGTCATTTGTTTCTACTAATTTTCCCCAAAGTGATCCAACACAGTTGAACAACAATGCAGCTGTGAAAGTGTTTAAAAATACAAAGAAAACAAAAACAATAACAGTCAAATGAAAATAATTCAGTTTGATTATAATTTCACATTTTGTAATGCACAGACAAGAAAAAATAACAAAGATGTCTAATTAAATATTTGTTGGAAAAGCATCTTCCACATTTTTTTCACAAGTTGAAACTTCCTTTATTGTCACTGAGTAACAGGGTTTTTTTTTCTATGCCAATTCAAATGAATAATAGCTTCATGGGTAGTAAGAGAATTATAGACAGGTGCTATATATATATATATATATATATATATAAAATTCTAGCCTCTGTCTGTCATCGAACTCTTCCTTGGGTTACCCAGGGTACTTGGATAAGTATATTTGATCAAAGGGGGTCCCTGGCGGCACAAAAACCCCACTGAAAATTTTTGTTCCTTTTGATTTAAATTAAATTTAAATTTAAACAAGGGAATGACTCCTATCCAAAATATAGAAGAAGAAAGTCAAAGGAAGGAGGTCAAATCAGCAAGATCATTGAGTAATACTGAAACGCAGCAATTTTCTCCACAAATTATAACAATGATTTAAAATCGGTCATCATTTTCTTACAAAAAAATGTGTGACATGCAGCAAGTCACAGGTAATTTGGCTAGTATATATATATATATATATATGTGTGTGTATACACACACACACGAGAGATGTGTTCATGTGTTAATAAAAAAGGATTGCATTTTGCAAAAAGAAAGTCAATTAACATATTTCTGGAGGCAAATGTCTATCCTTCAGACTATCCATTATCCTTATGACAAGCAGTCTTTATAAGTAGATGCCGGTAAAGAAATAACAAATTTACTTATTTAAATAAATTCATTTACAATTTAAACCGATTGATGAGTAGATACCAGTTCTTCAAAACCATGAATTCAGAAGATAAACTTGAATATTTTATTTATTTGTATGCAGGTTCAAATCCTGCCAAAGGGCACATATTTTTGTAACAAGATTTTTCAAAATATTCATACCAATAGATGTAAATAAATAAATATACTGTTTAATAAATAGATAAAAACAGACCATCTATTCAAATGAGTATTCATTAAAAATAACATCTAAACAAATAAAAATTGTTTTTTTTTTTGTCAGCTATACATTGGCTTGGAAATTACATATGTCTAAGGAAAGCTAAAAACAATCTGATATGTGCATAAAGCAATAGACACTAGTTATATATATATATATATATCTCAGATTTACAAAACCATAATATTCTTCAGCTAAAAAAAATCTCATGGCAATATCAACATTATCAAATAACAGTCTTTAATTTCTAATTTTATTTTTCTTATTTCCCTTCAATTATTTACATTAGAATGAGAACAGTTCATGTATTTTTTATTATATTCAATTTATCATTGACATTTCCAATAATGCTTGAATATTTATTATCATATATTTTCTAACATATTTATGGAAGATGAGAGACTTACCAGCATTTTGCAAGCTTTCAGCTAAATCTCTTTGTTGCCGAACTGGAAATAAAATATCTGTTTGAACTCCAATCACCATACATGGACAAACAATTCGACTGAGACCTTCAGTCAAGGAACTAAAACCTTCTTGCATGTCAAATAAATCCATTGCCTATTAACAAGAGAAAAAGTAACATCTTAAACACTGGTTTTTATTAATAGCAATCTAGTTGATCATGTAATTATTCTTTTTTAAATAAAGTATAAAATAACATATTTAGTAAGTTGTGTTTAAGTTTACTTAAATTCTAGTTTACTTTTTAATTGTTTAAGCCACAATGATATTAGTAGTAGAGTTGCTTAGGATTTAGTCAAATTTAAGTACAGTTGGTTATAAGAAAACCTTGTGTTGGTATTCCATCAAAAAGGGAATGCATAGATGTTTCAACTAGTAATTGCCTTTCCCCAATTCTAATACATACTAGTTTAAAATCAAATCACTTATTCACATCTACAATAGCCAAACAAGTCATGGGTCTCCTCATTCTCCCACTTTTCAAAAGGTTAAGATGCTAATTTGGTGGTCTTATTCATCTAAGGCTGCTAATAAAATTTTCTTTTCCCCATGTGTCTGTTCTGCTTGCATTTTGATAGTATCTCTTTTCTCATGTGCTCTTAGCAGATTATGTCATCTTTCTCATGGTGTTTATGAATTTTGTCAGTGTGCCATGCACCTGTATATATGGAAACCAACCTGATGTATTAGTATGATTTCAATATTGGTTTACATTATTAAGTGTTTCTTGTTCTGGAAACTAGCCACTTGACTGAATTATGACATCCTACTTCCCAATAAACTATTCTTCCTAAAGGACCACCAGTAAATCTCTGTAAGCAAACCACACAGTCCATTAGCTTTGGTATAGATATTTTTGGGGAAAACCTCATTCTCCAAAATATTCTGCATACCAATCTGATTTTATAAGTTTTATACTCAAGGGTTTTTAGAAATACTTTTTTTTATTTCAGCTGATGTAATAATTTATTATTAGTCATCATTTTCATCCAACATATTGAAAATATATTAAAAATTTCAACTTAGTGAATCACCATTTTATACAATGATTTTCATAAACAGTTTGTAAATATATTTTCAAATTCACAATCTCTCACCAAGTTCAGAGAAATATTTTAATCTGATTAATATTCTGTAATATAAGAATGGCACGGTGGAGTAATGGATAGTTGCTTGGATTGAAGAATCAGAGAGCTGAATTTGAATTCCAGTTAGTTCATTACATTCACTTACAAGCTAATACCTTTGGGAAATCTATGAATCCATCTTTTCTATACCACAGGTATGGGTAAATAGGGCAGGTTGGGTCTTATAACCTTGGGTGGTGGTTGCTCGAGGAGAAGGACAACTCTGAATTTAAAAACAAAACCAAAAAAACTGAAGGTTTAGTGCAATGTTTCTCAACCAGTGCATCTGGGCACACTAATGCGCCCTGATAGGCAGCCAGGTGCACCCTAATTTAACAGAAGAGTAATTTATGAATTATTTTTATATCAAAAAACTTATTATTTTTACAAAGCTAGAGACACGAAGAACATTGCTACCATATCTAAGACTTTGTCATTTGATATTTTAAACTGGATGCTAAATTCTTTGATCTTTAAGGAGTGGATAATCCCCATCCCTTTCTGAAGGCCTAACATATAATGCCAAACATTAAAAAAATTGCCAAAGCACATGAAGCACAGGTTTCACAGAAGCATACTTAAATATACAATGTAATGTCTTAAAAATAAATGCTTATTTCAGGAGACTTCTTTATTATTTTCAAATTAAATTAATTTTTTTTATTAAAATTTAAAGTGTGCCCCAGAGTTTTAATAATTGCACAAGTGTGCACTGAAGTAAAAAAGGTTGAGAAACACTGGTCTAGTGTATGAAATGAGGGTGACCCACACTATATTCCATGGTCTTCAGCTCTCAATCAAGAGGAGAGGAGATGGATGCCACCAAGTGATCTTGAAAGGATCATGAAGAAGAATCAAATCTGTTTCTTCTGCCATCAGGTCCCTATGATGATTGAAGCAGTCAAGTAAGAATATAAGAGATATTTAGTTTGGTTCTAGATAATAAAATTATTTAAATGGACAAAGCTTATAAAAGAATAACACATCATTTGGAGACTTATAATGAATCACATTGTCTTGATTTCACCTAAAAATATATTTTTCAGTTATTTTCGTTGTATTTTTAGAAATGCTATAATTTTGGATACATGGATGGAATTAAGTCATTTAAGCAGCTTCTCTCCCTGTACCAAATTATCAAATGTCTCATGATAAAAAAAACAAAGTTACCTTTGATAAGTAGAGAAGAGAATTTGGATCAAATTTGGTACTAAAACTTTCTCCTTGGTATTCCAAATAACTTTCAATAGTGAAAGTTGGACACAAACTTGGGTCTTCTAAAGGGTCAATTTTGTCACGCCTAAATCTTTGATTCCACTCAGGACCACTCCGATATGACATGGTGGCAATTTCCCTAGAAAAAAAATATTCCCCAAAATACAAAATATAATAATCCTACTTTACACAATAAACAACAATAAGAATATCACATCCTGGGTAAATTAATGTACTGTCTGTGATGAAATGATAAACAAATACAATGACTCTTTATTACCAAAAGATATGTCGGCAATCTTGGACCTTCGTGCCCACAAAAAAAAAATAATAATACGGTCAAAAGGACGTTTTTTTCCCCTTGACGTTGCTATTATTTTAACTATCTTCATTCCTCAGCAATGTTTATAGTTTTAAAAAGCAATGATTAAAATTTTTAATAAAACCTAAATATAGGAAAGTGAATTTATATATTTTCTTTGTTATTGTGAATTGAAAACAAAAATAATAAACACTATTTATTATATTGTTTATTTGAATGGTTGGCAAAACATTGGTTAATTGGCAATCGGTTCGAACTTTATAAAATGGTAAATAATAAGGATTTCCATATAATTGGTTCACATATTTTAATAATTTAGTAAATTTTTATAAATTTATGAATAATAATTGTTTTCATATTTATTTTTTTATAAATTGGTAAATGATAAATATTGCATTGCATTAGTTTTAATACAATTGTATTATTTTTTAGAATTTTGTAAATATAAACTTATTCTTGTAAATAAACAATCTGATAAATAAATAGCGTTTAATATTTTTGTTGTAAATTCTCTCAAGGGAAATAATATCCTTTTGACACTCCATTTTTTGTGGATACAAAGGTCTAAGTTACCGATATAATTACCTAATAAACTAATATAAATAAAAATCATTGAGCATACTGAAACAGAAGGCGATTATCTCCCTTCCTATACAATGCATTTATGAACATCCTAAGTAGCCTTGTGGATCACCATAACAATCATTGGCAGCTCATCAGCATCTAATGAAACAGGGGTGGTAGCAAATGACTGTTAGGAGAACAAGGGAATACCCTGCATCCTAAATAAGGAACATAAAAGATATCACTCAGGATTGCCATTGTCCCACTTGGGAACATTACAAGTAAAACCTTTATTAGATACTTTCCTTTCACATATGGCTTACATTTTTTTTCTTATGTGCTATAAATTCTGTGTGGGATGAATTGTGATGAATATATGTATAATATTTTATATGGCATTTGTATATTCTAGTTCTGTATATAAAGTTTTCAGACACTTTCAGAAATAATTTCTTTGAGTTATTCTAGTCCTTCCTTCAATTATGTTAAGATGTAAGTATATCATGGATATACTAATGCCTAGCATGGGCAATGGAGAGTGAAGAAAACTGAAAGATATTTCATCTCTCTAAGCAAGCCCCATTAAGATGAAAGAGATTGAATACTGTAAGGAAATTTGTTATGAAAATTAAGTTTAATACTTATAATAATAATAATAAAAACTTATTTAAACTATTTATTTATTAGATTGTTTATTGAAATGGTTGGCAAAACATTGGCTAATTGGAAATCAATTTGAACTTTATAAAATGATAAATAATTAAATTTTCTTTATAGTTGGTTCAGATATTTTAATAATTTAGTAAATTTTTATAAATTTATGAATAAAAAATTATTTTCATATCTATTTTTTTATAAATTTATATATTACTTAAATATTCATTAGTTTTCTGGATATTTCTAATTAGATTAATGCTGTAAAATACTGCAAGGGTGTGCTGAGGTTGGGAGAAACATCTAACCAATTGCTCTTTCAAGAACTACAGGGTAGCAGGGAAAGAGATGGGAGGAAACAAAACCAGAACACAAAGAGTGGCATGCAACTTGTGGAACAAACTGTCCAAAGGAACAAGTTTACAAGACACCGAGTCTTGCCAACTGCCAGTTTTCCCATCATTTTTATTGACAGGAGACAGTTGACAGAATCCCAGATTATAAGAGAAGTCTGTATTTGAACAAATTGGTCTGCTGTTAACTAAGTAAACCCAGATGTAACAGATTTTGATAGACATGTCCACATGCAATTCAAGGCCTCTTTTGCATTAGTACTGATAAGCATTCACCACAATTAAAATCCTTTTGATGGTATTTGTTAAACTCAATACTTAATTAGTAAACTAAGAAGGAGAACAAAAAGTAAGCATTACCTGGCTAATTTCATGCCAACATGAGGAAAAGGTCCATCATAGTAGTAACCTTTATTCCAGCTGGGGTCCATCATTATGATTTTTCTTTGAAGGTAACGCATAGCAATGGATGATGGATGGGACTGAGCACAAGCAGAAACAGACACCAATCTGAAATGAATTTTGATTAAGGGAACAGCATATTCAATAACTTTAAAGGAGTAACAATTATTTAAGACTGCTTATCTGAGTTTTTCTTTTTTTGTTTTTAAACTAAAATTTGCCTAATACAAAACTTGAGAACCACTTAATGTAGAAGATTACTATAAAAATGGTAATGATGAATAAGGTGTATTATATGAATGAAAGATGTGGATAAATAAAGGATAAATAAATAACAAGAAGAAAGGATAACAGATGGAGCAAAAGGGCAGTTGGTCCTGAATGGATAGTAAATATAGTAGAAAAAATTCAAACAGGAGATGGAGATATGAGATAGAGGGTTTTGCTGGTAACATATGGCAGATAATGATAAATTCAGTGTGGATGGATTAGGAAAAGGCTTTTTTCCTGCAGTTGACTTACAATGACTGCTGCTGATGATGATACTGCTTAGATGTCATCTTAAATTTTCAGGTCCTGTTTGAGAGAAGTCAAACTGGATTGGATCTGCTAATTTCACAGCAGCTGAGTTCATTGCATAAACTTCAACAAACTCAATTGACATTCCATTCATTTTTAAAATAATGTAGTTGGTAAGATTTACAGAGTAAGGGCAATAACTCACCTGCCAACTCTATCAGGATAAAGAGCGGCAGACATCAAAGATAACATCCCACCAAGTGATGAACCAACAGAACCATGCAACTGTAGGAGAGAAGAACAAGAAATGTTAAGATATGGTGAAATTGTTCAATCTAAGACATTCTGTATGCAATGTTTATTTGAAATAAAGCTGTTCTACCAAACATACAAAAAACATATTGTTAGAAGTTAACAGAACAACAGATTAAATGAGAAATCAGTCTTACTTGAGAGTCTGATAACTACTATGTTGAAAGACTGTAATGATAGGTAATTGAATGACAAAATTTTAAAAAGAAATTTCATGTAACACATTTCATTCTTCAAGAAGACTTCTTCAGATTAAATGTTTTTTACTGATAGAGTTACTTATGTAGGGAGAGTGTTATAATTCTGCATCAAGAGAAAATGCTGAAGAGGCTAAAACAATTAAATTTAAATATCTGATGTATCTAGATGTATAGCTAAGCCAATTTCATTCAGTTTCTTACTACCAGGAATTTAAAATTTAAATATAAGCGTCCTTACATTTTCAGTGGTTTTTCTCTATGTTTAATTATAACCAAATGTAGATATATTTTCATTCTATCAACAACATATCGATGATTCCATCAATGAAAACATTATCTAGACTGAAGAAGATCTTTTGAAGGACAAAATGCATTACATAGGATTTTTCTATTCCGTCATAGATAGATAAAAACAGACTGAGACGGACAGATATGAATGGACTGAGACACACAGACAGACAGATATGAATGGACTCAGATAGATAGATATGAACAGACTGAGACAGATAGATAGATAGATAGATAGATAGATAGATAGATAGATAGATAGATAGATAGATAGATATGAACAGACTGAGATAGATAGATAGATAGATAGATAGATAGATAGATAGATAGATAGATAGATAATGAACAGACTGAGACAGACAGATAGATATGAACAGACTGAGGCAGACAGGTGGGAAAAGCCTGAAATAGATAGATGGGAAAAGTCTGAAACAGATGGGGAGAATATGATATATAAATTCATATATAAATTTGCAACTGAAGGTTGGAAATTATAATGTGAGATTTTTAAAAGCAATAGAAATAAAAACAAAACAAAAGAAATACTAAGCTATTTTGTGTGTCTATTGGATGGCAAAAATTTAAAATTTAAAATTAAGCTTCCTTGCATCTTCAGTGTTTCTCACAATGTTTAATTATAACCAACCTTTGCTATATTTTCATTTCTTCCCCTACATATAAGATTCCATCAATGAAAAGATTATTTAGACTGAAGGAATCTTTTTGAAGGACAAAATGTATTATATAGGATTTTTTTTCACATTTTGTCATTCACTTACCTATCTTTAATCTGATATATAGAATTTATATATATCATCTTCTGCCAAGAATTTAATGAGAAAATAAACAAATAAAGCTTATTTTACAATGGCTTGCTAAAGTTCTTGGCCTGATCTAGCTAGAAAAAAAATTTAAAAAGTCAGTATTTCAATGACCAAACATAATACTGATTTTGAGAAATGGATGAAGCCAAGAACATCTTAACACTCCTTCATAACTGCAAACCTGTCATAGTCTGATAATGATTATCTCCCAAGTAAGTTATTGCTTTTAGAAGCAGCTTCCCTATTATCTGGTAGTGTTTGGGAAGAAGAACTTTAAAAATCTATATAAAGTAGGGTTTGATAAAATGATTATACAGATTCAAATAATAAGACACATTAAGACATTCTATTCATTCATTGATTTTAAACAAAAAAAAACTCTTCATAGAAAATTATTAAGATACAATATCCATACTGAGTTGATATCAAGTTTAAGTAAAAGTTAATTAAAACTGACAAAGTTTAAAACATATCACAGACTACACTGGTTTACAAACTTTTTTTTTCTAAGGCAAGCGTGTGGATAGGTGTTTATTTTTTTACTAATTTTGATGTGGTGAATTCAAATTTCTTAACAGTTTTACTTTATCACCTTGAGTTTTTTTTGCTTTCATATATCACATTTTTATCATACTGCATATAAATTCAACAGATGTGTTTATTTTATCTATTACAAAGGTATATTACAGAAAAAAAACAGCATAGATATAGAATATTGGCAGGACTAATATTGGATAATATCATACATATAGATCATAGTACAGCAGACAGTCAGAAATTAGTTTTTTTTTAACAATCTTGTGTACTTTGCCTCCAGTATGCTGTGCAAGAGCAACCAGCAGAAGTCTCCCATCATGCTGGGGTTCCACTTTGCTTTCTTTCCATCTTAGTAATATCTTGGTGAAACCTTTTTCCATGCTCATCATTCATTACTCTGAGATTTGGAGGGAAGAAATTAAGGTGGGAATGGAGAAAGTGAATTTTGAATGACATTCAGCATGGCATATCCTCATAAGCCTGTAAAAACTTATCGCTACACTCTTGGTAATCTGGTGCCCATGTATTACCAAGGATGCTTCCCAGTTCATTAAAAGTTAGAAGCTCCTTAAATATCTTATCCTTCAGCACTCCTCAGATCTGAGGTCCAACAAAGATGCCTTCCATGAGCTTAGCAGAACTGAGAGCTGGGAATAGAGTGCACAGGTGTTGGATGGCATCATTTTTTGTCAAGGACTTTCATGAAATTCTTCATTAGACCAAGCTTGATATGAAGAGAGGCAAGAAGCTCCTTGTTCATGTCCACCAGGGGATTTTCTTTGACACCGTTTACACCAGGCATGAAAGTGCTCCTAGACCTTCCCCCAATCCATCTGCTTGTAACACTTGGACACAGCCTGACATTCCCAGAGACAGAAAAAGCAATAGCATTTTGTAAAGCACACTTGCATACTCATGAAGAGTTCAGTGACCTTAAGGTCCCTACAAAGACTCCATTGGTACTACTTGAAAGATTCTAAAAGAGGCCCTACAACTCCTTTAGGTGGACTGAGTGATTCCCATTGTGTAAGAACACAGCCTTCAGACATATGAAGATTTTATGAAAAGATGCCAATCTGAGGAATTGTTTGGAAAGACAAGGAAGCTGAACAAACCAGAGAGATTTGTGCAGTATCACAACCTATTTTCCATGTTGAAGAATGAGGCAAAGTCCTTGTTCTGTGTCCTGAAACTAATGATCCTTACATCTACTGTGACCAAGTTCCACTGCTTAAGCCAGGATACCAGGATGCTTAGGTACAAATCATGGGTAAGGTCATTCAGGTCTCCCTGGGTGATCCAGTGGGGCTCACTGCCACTTGATCCTAAATAAACAGAGACATTGTCTTTAAAATAGACTGAATAGATAGAGGAATTCGCCTCTGAAGGCAATTCTTCATATGATGAAGGAATAAGATCTTTATGTGCTGTGGCTGTAAGGACAAGGAGATCATCTGAGTGTGGGACAGGTCTCATAGCTGAGAGAAAGTTGGGATACTGTTTTTTTTTAGAAGATGAAGCATTGAACCCAGTTATATTTGTTAGACAAAAATAAACATCTGCATAACTTTGTAGCTTTCTCCAGATCATCATGACAGCAAAATTGAAGGTTGCTTTCTTGCCATGAAACCATGCAGTTAGTCCATTGTAACAGGGTTTGCAACATATGTGTGGAGCACAGGATTTGTCTTGATCTCCATTTTTATAGTCAAAATAATGAGAGTAAGCAATTCTCTTAGGGGAGTAATTGTTTGGTACTGTGTAACTGTTATGAAATCCCCACACATGTAACAGAATGAATTTGCCTTGTTCATATGTCCTTGGTGTTTTGAAGTGCCTGAAGCCATTGTAGAGTTAAGTATTAGCTTACAAAAATCTGGAAAACAAAATAAACATTGACCATATATATGGTTATATCCATGCATAATGGGCATTTGAATTTGAAGAGGATTTTGTTTTGCTACAATGAAGCTTAGCCCATAGAGTCAAGCAAAAGCTACCTTTACATAAGTTATTTTTTCAAAAGAACAATTCCTAAAATTTCAAATTTTTGAAAAAGAACACAATCTTCTAAATGGGACTCATCTAGCAACCTTGAATGCATGTACATATATATATTCACATAAATGTATATCTCAAAAACTAGGTGATAAGTGAAAAGGGATTTTATATCTGAAATCAGTAAAATGTTATTGATCTGTGAAGTTTTAACTTTGAAGCATGTATAGTTATTTAGTTATTAGAAATTTTATATCCTTCGAGTAAAATGGAGCCTAACATTTTTCTGTTAAATATTTGAGCTAATTTTGTATCTACTACTATGTCTATGTGGAAGGTATAAATAAAAGGACAACATATCAAATAGTCAGTCTGTGTGGGTAGCAGTTGGAGTAAGAAGAGTTATTAAGAAATCTCCCTGTGCCTAGTCTATTTTCAGAAGAAACTGGATTAAAAAAAAAAAACAGAATTTTTATAAATTAATAAATAGAAAATTTTTAGATTTACGCTTTATCTTTCTTCCTTTCCTTTTGAATATTTTTAAAACACCAATTTTCACTTCTTCAACCTCCCAAAAAACTTATCAGCCCTTAAAAGATTTCAATTGATCAAATTCTTGGGAAAATCTGAATATGTGATGTGAGTGTAATTAAATTATATCAAATACATTGAAAATCAAGTTTTACAAGTTGATTTTATATAAGAATAAATTGATTTTTCTTTCAAATGACACCAAATTTAGCCTCCTTGGTTTGTAAGATATATTGATTGTACAAACTTGCATATTCAGACTTTCCAACAATTCAGTCAGGACACAAGAGATTTAACTACTGAAATCTCTTAAAGACCAACATGGTTGTTATCTAAAGGTGTACAAATAAAACTGCTGATAAGGCACTTTGACAAGAAGTAATGGCCAGCAAGCTACTTTGATAAATATTACTACGGTGTTGAAACTTTTATCTTCCCAGTGTCTTCCATATTTGAGGTCTTATTCCAAACTAAGCTCAGTAAATAACAAAATTGCTAAGGCAGATACGTAGTGACTCATATATCAGCTTGTCTGAATTTAATTTATTGCCAACAAGGTATTTGTTATAAGAGAAGTTGATTTTCAGTGACCCTAATATATAATGGACTTACCCTAGATGGAAACAAAATAGACTTTACACTCAGTATCAGATCAGAGTGTTACAGAAGTCAGGCACCTCAGTGAGCTGACCTGGAAGATGCACTTTTAACCACCAGGTGCAGATTTTGCAGCTCACAGAATGACAGCACATCTAAGTTTTTTTTTATCTTTATCATAATATTAGGTGAGTGTATATGCATGCAAAAGCTTCCAGGAAAAAAACAAAAAAAAAAAACAAAAACACAAACTGTTTTTTAAGTATTCAGTTGAAAAAAGAATGCTCAAAACTTTTTGATGTAATGGAATAACTAGTCACCCCTATGAATGATCACACTATAGGTAGCAAGTACCTATAGAGTCAACCATCTACAAGAGACTCAGGAGAGGAGGTGAGAGTGAGACGACGCAAGCATGTCCGACCTTCCAATTAGTGGCACTCTACTAGATTGACCTGTGTGTATAACTGTACCGTATTTCATATTGTACTTGTTGTGTACAATAAACCTTTCTTCTAGTATCCACCTGGTGTTATGTGTTTATTCCCTTAACACTTTTGTATATAGTTCACAAAAATACTTACATAATGTATGTAAATGAAAAAAATTTCAAATAACAAGAAAAAGTTTTCTTTACCTTTTCTATGCCAAGATGATCAAGCAACAAAAATTGGGAATGTATCATATCCTCAACCGTGACTAAAGGAAATGTGGTGGCATATGGCTAAAAAGAAAATTGATAAATCAATACAGGACATGCAAAGTAAATCATTATAAATCAATGATCTTAGCCAGTCAAGTCAAATAAGCAAGTGTAAAAGGTAAACATCAGAATTAGATCATTTTGCTGTCAGCAAAACAGCAAGTATGCTAATAAAAAAATGCCCTTTTAATGCAAACTAAAAATAGTTAATAGTAAAAAGAAAAGCTCTTATCTTTACAAAAAATTTTTAGACCAAAACATGAACTGCCAAAAGATGAGAGCAAGCAGACAGTGTGTCAACATCTACAAGGATCATTTAATATCAATTAAACACTTTCTGTCTGAATTTCTGGGATAAGGAGTTATCATTTATTCAAACTAATGTCCTCATTGTTGTTGCTATTATCACAACATTTCAAATGTTTTGCCTTCCAGCTTTCTTCAGGTGTCTGGAGATCCAAGTAATCCTCAGGATTAAATAAAGGGTTGAGCTCAAAATCTCCCTGGAGCTTATCCAGACAGGCAGACGCCTGAACAACACCAGAGGGCACAATAGTTGAAGTATTGTAATAATAGCCAGTGAGTTTGATCTTCAGTCTCACAACTTTACTAACCACCATCTGTACCAAGATGCACAAATTCTGTTAGTCATTGTTCAGGTTCTAAGCTTTTGGTTTGCTTCAGTTATTAACAAGAAAGAAATTTAAACCCTCTTTTGCAATGATTTTGAAATTTAAACCTTCTTTTACAATGATTTTAAAATTTAAACCCACTTTGCAATGATTTTGAAATTTAAACCCTCTTTTGCAATGATTTTGAATGATTGTATTATTATGTGAATGTGTTGCTATTTTTTTGAATTTTGAAGATATGGTGTTACACTATGGTGTTAACACAAACTAACCAAAGACAGTTACTTTACATATTCAAGACCAATATATGAAAACTAATCTAACAACAAAAAAAACTTGTTTGAAAAAAATATAATAGACATAACTTGTCTGTTATCTTTAATAAAATATACTTGAATGCGCATTCACTATACACCCATTTGTAATTTTTTTTATATAGTTAGCTTTAACAAAGGGAAATAACTCATTCAGTACAAAATGCTACTACTGCTCTTTACTGGATATGCATTCTAATAAAAGTAAAATGTAGTTTTAAATATTTCTTAAAAATACAATTTTATTATTTGATTTATATCTTTTTAAAATTAAATATTAAACACATTAAATACTTAGCATTTAATAATATTATTATTATTAATATTAGATATTTAAATATTATATTTTTTAAAATTCAGCCAAAGATTTTATCAAATCATTCATTCATTATTTTTAGCAAAAATAAAATCTTTTTGAGTTGTCTTTAAAAATTACTTATTCGCTTTCTGAGAACAGCACTTGAAATAAATTCTTTTGGTTTCTTTCTTTATTAAAAAAGAAAGGAAATCGAACATGCCAGTAATATGAAATTAATAAAATTCTTCTTGACTCTTACTCAAATACAAATATGTCTCATAAAATGATAAAAAGAAAAATAAATCAATGGCATTTAAACATTTAGTCAATAAACTTGTAAGTCAAGTTTTGCTAGGAGCTGTTAAACATTTGAGTAATATATTCACAAATCCTAAACAAAAAAGAACTGATTATAATACAAATAGTACCAAAGTGCAGATTATATAAATATATATCTCAAACAAGATATGTTTAGGTGTTAGTCATATAATGGTAACCTAACCAGCAGATGCAAGGTGATTTTGAGAATTCTTTTTTTTAAAATGTAATTTATATGGAAGGAAATATGGTGATTGTACACACACACACACACACACACACACACACACACACACACACACACACACACATATAGTATGTGTGTTTCATTGAATAATATAGACATATTGTGTCTACTTATTTTTATTCTGATCTTTTTCAGTTGTCTAATCAATTTCTTGGTGTTAAGATAAAATTCATCAAGGAAGGTGACATAGTTTTTTTTCAATGAAACATGTGTGAATAAAGATATACTGCCTATATGTGTGTGTGTGTGTGTGTATATATATATATATATATATATATATATATATAAAAGACATTTTTTATGTTTATACGTTCTTTTTATAGATACAAATATTTAAGTAAATGCTCTGTTTATAAACAGTATTAACGACATTTATTGGCTTGAATGTCCGAGAAATTTTCATGGAAAATATGCGTCCTCCAACAGGGATCAAATCTGTATCCTATAAGGAACTGTCATATAGCCTAACATGCTTTACCAATTTAGCCACAGAGGAGTGTTTCTGTTAGTAAGGTTGATTTTACTGTTTTTAAACTACAATTTTCCATGATTTTCTCTCATACATTCATATCTGCTTGATGCATATCCAAATGTAAACAAATGACATCACACATTATGAAATGGACAAAGTCTGAAAATTATTTTAAGACATTATTATTTTAAAAATGTCTTAAAATAATTAAGAAGAAGAGAACATGATTAAGGACTGTCTGTATGCCATCCTTTACAGCTGAGAAATATAAAGGAGAAATAGGCCACCTCATTAAGATAAGACTGTAGGAACACCATAAGGCCTTAACATGAAGGGAAATAGAAAAATCAGGCATAGCTGGCCATATATGGAGGGAAAAATGAGATCACTACCCTGTGCGGGATGAAGTTGAATTAATAAACAGAGAACATCACTGGAAAATATGAAAACCTAAGGAATCAGTGTATATTGTAGGCCAGAAAATCTCCTAAGTTGGCCAAGCATAGGCATGAATACAATATGGGAACCAGTAATACAGTGAGCTAGAAAAAACAACAATAAAAAAATTGTAATATAAGCTCTGGTAAAAATGGTTACTGAGACATTAGGTTTATAAATTCCAAAAATTAACTCACTGATGTCCAAGGACACAGTGAATAAAAACATTGGTTGAGTGATCCAAAAAGTGACTTGACCCAAGTGACTTAAGTTCAATACCTGGCCATAGAGAGAACAAAAATTTGGTGAGTTGAGATAACTGAATTAAGAAATTAACTGAAAATTATCCAAAAAAAGGCATGGAGAAGGCCAGAGCATACAACTGCTAAAATGTGAATATTACCATAAAGCTGGGAACAATAGTCTGAATGATGTAAATAATGTAAATTATATATACACATAGATATATAATACCAATTTGTGACTGGTAGGGATAATTCCAAGGAAGTTATTAATCCAAAGAGAGCTCAATGTAAATTTAAATTACAGAGCATTATAATAATAAGTCAAGAAAAAAACCTTAAAAGATACATTTCATTCATAATTTATTTCTAGAAGATTTTATATTCAGTATCTGTCTATATTTCTGATATGAGGTATTATGTACATTATTTACATTATTTGGACTATTGTCCTCATCTTTGTCACCATATTTATTATATGCTAGGCCACAAAAATCTCCTGAGCCAACCAAGCATAGAAGTGAATACAATATAGGAACCAGTAATAAGGAGTGCCAGAAAAAAGCGATAATAACAACAAAAATTGCAATATGAACTCTGGTAAAAACATGAATGATAACAACAAAAATTGCAATATGAGCACTGGTAAAAAATGGTTGCTGAAGACATTAGGTTTATAATACCCAGAAATTCATACACAGATGTCCTCAAGATCCAGTGACAGGACCCAAAGAGTGTGAGTTCAATACCTGGTTAAGGTGGTGGAGAACTTGGAGAGGGGAATTAACAGGAGATAACTGATAACTGACATCCATTAGATGTGGAATTAGAACAGTCTATCCCAGTGAGTGAAATAAAAGGGTTCAGTTTGACATTCCAACCACCTGAAGAAGGCGGGAGCGTACAATGGCCGAAATGTTGTAATAAATATGGCGACAAAGATGAAGACAATAATTCGAATAATGTAAATAATGTATTTTATATTCATCTCTTCAGACTGAAATTTCTTAATAAAAGATCTTTAAGGTTTTTTCTTGACATATATATATATATATATATATATATATATATATTGATATATCATTGAACTTCCAGGTAAGCTTAAATATTAATGCAATACTTAAATGGAGCAATCAGTTTTTGAGTTCTGTAGTTTATTGTTGCCTATTCCATCTACTCTTCCCTACCCCTTATGATGAAGGCCTAGTCAAGAGAACTCTGCAGTCAGTTATGTTCCATGCATGATACATGATTGCCTAAGCATGTATCATGCATGGAATGATGAGGCAGATTTTTCCGCAGTAGGTTGCCATTTCTTTCTGTGATAGACTAGTTGCAATCCAAGGCTATAGAACCTGGTCTATCCTGCTACTTACCCATAGACGGTGGGGAGAAGAGGATTCATACCTTTCCCAAGGGTATTAGCATATAAGTGTATGTAATGGATTCAACTGGAATTTGAACTCGGCTGTCAGCAGTAGCTAGCTTAAATGCCGCCTGATGGGGTACTTTTAAGCAAGTATATATATATATATATATTCAACACCATCACTTGATAAGACACCAGAAGTGTTGAAACAAAATGGCTATTTTTGTAATGATTTTATAACATATTTATGTTATAATTTTCGAATAAATAATTATATATATATATATATATGACACATGGTGTGAAGATCTCTCGAGTCATGACACTGACAGTCACCAAGCAGTGTTAAAGCTTATGTCTACACATGTCTATGTCTATATATATATATATATATATATATATATATATATATATGAATAAATAAATAAAATGTGAACATATATCCTTTTCAACCCTGCCAAAAATAATAAGTTATTCAGTTGATTAAAAGAGTTAAGAGACCATATAGCCGGTTTAGTATACAGTACTAAGCCTAGTTCCTTCTACCAACCTGAACTCAACATGAAAGTCAAATTTTCATTAACTGTAATTAATTACCAAAGAAAACTTACCTTTCCAGTTGTAGGATTAATTGAGGATGGACCTCTGGAATGAAATGAACTAAGATTGTTATTGAGAAGTTAACATTTACTTTCTTATTAATTTTTATCTCTTTTTCACTTCTTTTTAAACATTTATATTGATAACAAGTATTTATTACTTACAGAAATAAAATTACTTTTGTAACAATTCTATTTTGAAAAATGTTTAATCTTTTTAATTCCTATTCATATATCACCTTAAGTCTTTGTAATTTCTCTGTTGGCATATTCTTCACTCTTAAGATATGCATGAGTTGTTGATTTGTTCCAAAAATTTAATGTCTTTCAATAAACTTTTATTTTTCTTCACACTGTTAAGTTTATCTACTTTAAGAGCCCTTATTATGGGTTTGTAATTAGATATGCTATATGGTAAATAGAATGATTACATAATGTATTTTACTTCCTTGTTTTAAAATGTTGACAGGGCGATATCTTGTTGCCATGATTGCATGCAGGCAAAGACCTGCAACATTTAGAAAGTTTGAAGCTTTTTTTTTTAAAAAGTGAATTCTCAAGTGGTATTTAGATATCTGGAATTTTACTGTACTTTTGAAAGGCCAGTTTTACTAAATTCTGAATTTTGCAGCTTGCATCATTTTGACCTACATTTTAAAATACTAGAATCTTTTTGCAACATGCTGACACATGTTGAAATCCTCACAGTATCTAGTATGGTTAAAGTTAAATATGTTTTAAGAAAATTTACTTTTTCCTTTTTAACAGCAAAGAATAAATTCTTAGTGATTTCTTACTCTTGAGCATGCAACATACAACTGGCCATGCATAAATATTTCTTTCTGAAGCCAAATTTCAACTTTTTTAACTGTTTGACATTGTGATTTGTTTATAGTTCTCGCAAACGCAGAGCAAACTGGAAACGGGATTCTTGTATATATAAAAGCTTAAAGAAAATATATGCAAAAAACAATATTGCATTTATAGTAAACAACTATTTGTTATTTTAACCATTAAATTGTTTTAAAAATAGTGGGAGTATTTTGTATATTAAATAATAAAATTTTTAATTTAAAAAAAAAAATATGAATGAAAATTTATTGTACTAAGCTATGCACCCTAGTAAAACCAACTGTACTTTGTACCTGCTTACCTGTTTGCCCTTCTCCCCAAAATTTGGTTTTGATTGGTCAATGTATGGCTATTTTAGAGGGTGTGACTGAAAGATGGACTAACGGAAGTTACAGAATTTTATAGATAGATATAGTTAGATGCTGGGCTACTAATGAGAAGAGAATAACATTAAAATTTATTAGCACTGGAAAATACAAAAATTTAAGGTATTATATTTAACCCAGTTTGCTACTCTGAACACAATCTGGTAACCCTGCTTGTAGATCATCATATTTGATAAACAAACGTGAATATTAAGTTGGGAGGAGCAGGTAGGATTTATAGCCAGATAATAAATAGATCCCCTACTTTTTGCCACAGTAGTTCCCAGACATTTCTTTAGAAAATATAATTTGTAAGCAGTGTTACCAAATTTGAATATTTTTAGAAGCTCAGTGATAGGAAATTTTAAATTTTGCCACTTGTGATAATTTGAGTTACTTTTGAAAATATGCTGGGCTAACTTGGGCTGTCAGTGAGAAGTCAAAGTTCAAAATTTAGTAGACATGGGCTTTCAAATGTATCCCAATTCATTAGTTGCAGTTCAATCTGGTAATCCAAATTCGTAATATGGTTAATTGGTTGAATTTCTTTCATAAACTGAGGTACTAGCTTTTTTTAACTTTAGAAATCTGTAATCCAATTAAATCTGTTATGAAGACACTAGGACACCAAGTAATATGCTGTGAAATAGGAAAATTTAAAACAAATTATTGAACTCAAGGGCTTCTCATGATTATTGATCTTATTTGTGTTAATTTTATTGTTGCTGCAATACTTTGACAGATTCATTCTACAGTCTTCTTCAGGTAAACAAGGTCTGTACAGAAAACATCTAGCCATTGTATATTAATAAAAATCTTTATTTACACTATTTATGCTCTAAGTCCACTACAGTAAATTGTCTTGCAGGACAATGGCCTAGTGGATTAAAGCATTGGTTTGTGACTTTAGTGGTTGTGAGTTCAATCCTTGGTCAGGCATTGTGTACTTGGACTCAGTGGAAATGGGTGAGCAATAACTGAGTAGTATTAAATAAATAGTATTTAAAATTTTTGCTGTAAATTCTCAAGAATAAAAAAAATGTATAAATTCACTTTCATCATATCTTTAAGTTTTTTTACAATTCTAATCATCAATTTTAAAATATATATACATTGCCCAGGAGTAAAGGTAGTTAAAAAAATAGTGGTATCAAGAGAAAAACCATCCTTTTGACACACCGTTTTTTTTTTTGTCGGCATGAAGGCTAAAGATTGTCTATGTTACAGTGATGATGGAAATGGTATCATCTGTGTGGCTCATATTGCTGAAAATGAGCCAAGCCTGTTGGTATATCAGCTATCTGCCAATTATTCTATAAAAAGATCTTTTTTACTTACAGATTGTACACTTGTAGAATCAAACAGTCAAAATATTGTAGCAACAAATATACAAGTTCAATAATCCAATCAACTATTGGAATGAGAATGACTTTTCAAAATTATAGTAAATTATTGCACTTACGATGTTCCATAACAACCTCCTAAATTATTTTGGCAAATGACGAAATATTTTGAGGTGTCAAGTGCACAACCTGGTCCAATAAACTTTTCCCACCAACCAGGTTGAGGATTTTCCTAAAAATATAAGTGGGAAGAAAAAGGCATATAAAAAGATCTCTTACAAAATAAACACAACAAAATTAACCATATACCAGATTTTATACCCTATTCCTCTATACACACACTAGAATTTCATAAATTAATAATCAATTCACAAAAACTTCTCTGAACTCAATATTTTCCTCAAAATTTAATATCTAGTAAATTTGTCCTATGCCTCTTCCATACTTTTGCAGACTTACCCACCAAGTGTCAACAGACAGTCAATCAACTTGAAGGTCAGCAAAGTCTACTCTATTTCCTTTCTAAAGGGAAGTAAATTTGATTAAATGATGCATGACACATTTCTACCTGACATTTTGACAATCAATTCTTTTTAAAAATTATGCATACATTTTCCTTTTCTTTTCTTTTTTTTTTTTAAAGATGTACTTAAAATATATGAAAAGCTGGAATACATGTGAAGTCTTGCCTGCCTGTCTGCCCCCACTCTCTCTTTCATAATTCCTATTGTTCAAAAATAACAAACTGATTCAATTTAGGTTTGTTGGTTTGTGAGCCCCTAGTTGGGAAACTATCTCTAGTGAGTCTACAGACCCCATCATTGGAAGCCTATCTACAGGATCCATGAACCTCTCGTTCGAAAGTTGATATCCTTCCCATTGGTAATACTCTGATGACTGGCCTGCTGAATCTCTCCCTTAACACACAATGGCCCTTTTGTGTCTTTGAGTTTTAAATCATAGTTTAGTAGAAAACAGTAGTTAATTAGAAAAGGAAACATTTTCATCAATATTCTCTTCATGAAGCTATTAATAATTAAAGATAATGGTGTTTTCTCATGAACTGTAAGTTTTGGAATAATATTTGTTCCATATTATTATCAATTCATACATTAGTGCTAAAGTGAAAAGAAAAATGCTCCCAGGAATTTCCATATGAATCATTAATGCTAATAACATTACCAGTAAACTAACATCAAGGTAATACCTGGTTTGGCTATCATATAACATCCTACCTTATGGCTCTTTGCATGAGAACTGGCTGAAAGTCCAGTGTAGACCATCACAGCATTGTCTTTCTTTTCATTTAATGTCCCCCATGTTTCATAAGCAATCTCCAATTCAGGAATCATCCGATTTCCATACTTCAAATAAAATGGTTTCTTGTGCTTGAAAACTTTGTATCCAGACAGAATTTTATCATACTGTGGCTCAGGACCAGCAGATATTCTGTAGTTTAAAAAAAAAGAAAAGGAATAAGGTTTCATTAAATACTTGATTTAAAGTGCTTTAAAAAATTTAAATAGAATAAATTGATTTTCAAGGCTTTTATTTAATTTTTTAAATGATGATTAGAGTTTAAGTTGGGAATTAACAAATTACATTAATTTAAAAAAAAGTAAGAATACATAAATTTATCCCTACTGTCTATAAAAAAAGTCAATAAATTTTCACCTGGCCTCTTGCTTTTCAATCAACTTTGATCTTCAAAAATCTAAATGCAATGTAAATCATTATCTTCTCTCTTCTTAATTCCCATTATTTTATTGTTCTCTCACTTTAATAATGTTTTTCTTTTTCTTCATATTCTTTCACACTCAGTAACCCCTTGCATTTTATTGCCTTGCTTGGGGTAAACTGTTTTTTTAAAAAACAAGTATATCCTACCAATATATCAAAATAATTGAAATCTATCAGCTTTTCTATTACAATCTCATCTTTTTTTTTAATTTTTGTTCCTCCCTCTTTATCTTGGCTAGTGTCAGTCATGTCAGATTTTAATACTATAGACTCTTTCAGATTTTTTTTGTATATATATATATATATATATATATATATATATATAGAGAGAGAGAGAGAGAGAGAGATAGATAGATAGATAGATAGATAGATTTTTCTCTTCTGTTATCATGGAAGAGTTCACAATGTATTTGTTCCATCTCTGTAGTATCTTTTTTTTTCATTATCATTGTTTCCTTCTTAAATTTTACGCATCCTGCTTGAAGAGCATGCCTTCTGTTCTACTGTTTCTTTTTTTATCTTTTTATACATACCTTCTATATTTATTTTTTGATTGCTGCACATATCTTGTTGAGTCATTCATCTTTTGTTTACTTGCATTTATTTCTAATATTTTTGTTTAACATCCAATATTCTATGTTGTTGATTTGGTTTGTTTTGATTTATGGTATATCAACTTCAATGGATTATTTAATGCCAAGAAGATTTTTATTGTCCAAAAATGTATTGCTGCAAATATTTTTTTTTTTTTAAATGTATTGCTGGTAACAATTTTTTCTTCAAAAATTTATTGCTGGTAATAATCTTTTACAAAATTGTATTGCTAGTATTAAAGCCTATTTTTACACTTTCATAGTGTTTTGACCCCAGTTTGTCGAGGTCAACTATTTTCCCACAGCTGGTACCCTAACAGGTGCTACCACCCTGGGTCAGGGTGGACCTGGGAACATCAGCAATTAAGAGGTGGTTCCATGCTCCTCAAAACCTCCTGATCAGAGGCCTTGCTACTGAATGAAGTTTATTGTCTTACCCAGGACGCATATGTAGTTTATTGTCTTAGCCAGGATGGTGTTATTTGTTGTATCTCTTTCATTAGCTTGAGAATTCAATCTGTTGTCTGCTTTTTTTCTTGTCTCTATTGCTCTTCCTTTGATATGGAAACAAAAACCAGCCAAAACATCAAGTGCAATAACTGAAGAGAACTTGAAATGGGACGTTAATTTTTCAAATCCACCATACAAAATGAGAGTAGTCACAGTGTTGATTTTAATGCTTCAAACAATTTATGCATGTCAAACACTGAATTATAAGATCTCCTTTAAACCTAAGATTCTTAGTTTGCCTTTGGATGTGAAAAATCGTGCATTAGAAATAAAATAAAGCTACAATTTCAACTATAACAACAACTTCATCTCCTGAAAACAAATAAAAAATATCGCGGATACTGGGTACATAACATTTTTGCAATGTCTACTCATAATTCGTTTCCAAATTATGAGACTAAGTAAAAAATTGAGTTTTTATAAGAGAGTTAATTTAAATGTTTGGTAGATTGAAATTTTGAGCTTTAAAAATCAGGAATAATTCAAACTATGGCTTTTTTAGTTTTAGGTTTTATTTTTTTTTTTTGCTAAATACAAAAATTAACAAATAATTTTATTGATTTTTTGCTTTTTTATGTAAAAAAATCTTTCTATTGTACTGAAACGCGTGTCTGAGGTGTGTTTATTACACTCAGTACACTGGTTTTTCATTTCACAGTACAGTATTTTTCTAAATTAAACTTAGTGTAAACTAAACACTAAGCAATAAGTACTATTTTTATCCATTTCCAGCAACCACATTAAAAATTATAAAATTACTGTAGATTAATAAAGTTCATTTCTTTGAGACATGGTGTATGTACAATAATCTAATTATTCTAATTATTACAATAAATAAAAAAGAAAAATAATATACTATGGAAATCCGTACTTAAAATTTTTTTTACAGGTATGAACTTCCATAGTTTATCATTTTTTTAAAATTATTTTTCTGTTTTAACATTTGGCAAGAGCTTTCTTTTAGTAATGTTGGTCGATTAGTTTTGAAAATCGACTTTTTTTATTATTACACTAATTTTCAACTATTGGGAAGTGAACTGAAATGGAAAACAGTGAAAGCCTTCACGATAAATGATGAAGCGAGTAATATTTTCAAGTCATATTTTATTTGAGTGTACAGTGTACTTTAAACTTTAAAGTATAGCACTCAATAAAATATGAAAGTTTATTATTGACCAAACAAAAATATAAACAAAAAACTTTAAACAAATAATAAATTAAAAAAAAAAACAAAAAAAAACTTACGTTCTGCTAACACAAGGAAATTCAGTATCCATTCCAATAAATTCAGAAGCATTGCAAAAAGAATCTCCAATAGAGACTTTCACAGACAATGGATCAGTATGTGACCGTTTTAAATTGCTATTTTGAATACGGAAAGCACGAACCTGTTGCTGAGATTGTTTCCAAACAGTTGTTCCGAAAAAACGAAGTATAATAATCCTCTCAGAGATGTTCAGACTCTTCTTATGTAAGAACTGAAGACGTGTTTTGCACAGAGTTCCAAAAGGCTGTAGCCTTTCAAGAAGCGCGATTCCACGAGACATTTTTTTTTTTTTAGAAATAAACAAAAAGCTTTAAAAAAAAGTTTCCGACCAAAAATAAAAGCAAAGAGTAGCTGACATTAAAAACATCTGGCAACCGTTTTACGCTGCTGCGGAGTAATACACAAACTTTTCAAAAGTTTTTACTTTTTTGTATAATTTTTTCGGTTTTATTTTTTTTTTATATATATATATATATATATTTTAACAACTTTGATTGGCTTATTTGTTAGGCACGCAGATGTAATCTATTTTCTCAAACAAAAAAAACGTGAAGAGAAGATCAAAAGGAAACAATAATAAACATGATTGATGAATAGAATTAAAGTTTTACATTTAATTCTAACACAAGTGCAAACTTGTGCACACACCCACACTAAAAAATTACTTCGACTGAACAACTTTTAAAAACATGCATCATCATTCGTTTGGCTTGTAAGAAAAGCTCAAACAACAAAACAAAATGTATTAATTAGTCACAGTTCACACGTCTTATTTTTTTACAATGTTTTTTCCTTAGGACATCTCTCTGTCTGTAAGTGTCCCGCAGAAATATTTGTGAGTTCGATCCTTGTGCTAAAAACTATGTTATTGTTAAGATCTCTAATTTAATTAAAAAGAAAAAAAAGGCTGGACTTATACTGTTTTTTACCGGGCACATGATTGTTAAATAATGGTTCTATAAATAGACGACTTGAGTTTAAATAGTTGACTAAAGTTAAAAATGGAATAATCATTCTTAATTGACTGTTATACAATTTTTTGGTGACAAGTAGTCTCTCAAGTCTCATTGAACAATCCGATCCCCATGCATAATTTTTGAACTTGTGTTACTACTGTTTTTTTGTTTTTTTTTTGTTTTTTTTTTAAGCTGAATTGCTTATTGAAGGTGAAGGTGTGTGTCTAGTACAATAATAGGCGAAGTTTTAACTTTTAGTTTTTCTTTGTATTCATTCTTCGTCACTGTGTCAGCACTGTTTTTTACGTGTGTTTACTTTACAGTTTAGTGAGTGAGTTTCATTTTTAGTCAACTGTCCTAATTCAAGTTTTTGTCTTTCTCTAGCCCCGTGTAAAAACATTAAAAAAAAAACAGTAATCAAGTCAAAAGCTTTTTTTTTCTCTCAAGATTTTATACATTTTCCTAGACTACCGAATAATAATACCCTTCCTAATTTTCGAAACCGCTACTAGGTTGTGGACGCTTTGCGGACTATAACAATATTTTTTTTCACTCTCTTCTTAGCTTATCCGATTATTTGTCAACATGTAAAAAAATCTCTCGTGGAGAACGTGTTCCCTTTGGGAAACGCATAAACAAACTATACATACACAACACGCGTACGTACGCACATACACAAAAACACATACTTTGAACCAAAAAAGTTTTCACATTCTTTTGTTACTGACATCATGTTCTTTGTCACTTGTATACCTTTATTGTTAATACATTATCATTTGTTTGTACATATTTATTGGTTCTTGTCGTTTCTTGCATTTCTTCACGTGGACTCGCATCCCTAGTCCAACATTTTTTGTTGTGGGATATTTCAGGTGACATGTATTATTTCTCAACTCAAACACCGATCTTATTAACGCCTGCAACAAGTTGGGAAACCCATCATGGAATCCTCCATACTTGCCTGTCACCCCCTACGGGGAGATGCACTCTTCCCCAAATTAATCTTTAACCAATCATCACTTCACTTTTCCAAACTCAACTTCCCATTGGTTAAAAGGACACAAAAATGTAGCAAGTTGAGACAAATCCTTTTTTCTCGCGCAGCTGTCTGGAGCCTATTTGAAAACCCAAAAATCTATAGAAAAGAATCGCTCGATTTAATTCAAGTCAGTCAAACACTGAGTTTCGAGAGATGCCAGCAGACTCCACGCGTGCTAACACACTGACTCAATAACACTACCAGCCTCTCATCAACTCAACACAACTCGCATTACTATTGTCGCGTGAAGAAACTTAACTTACAATTTACTAAAAAAGTGACTTTATCACTACGAAATAGTAATTGTACATTTAATCAACTATAGCATATCAGTCAAAGGCACACAACTCTTCATAACTTGAATCAACAATTACAATTGTCACACACATACACACTATTATTTGAACTCACACAATTTACATTTTACCTTGCAGAAATCAAACTGTTTTAATTTCACAAACTTAAACCATTAACATTCATTCACCAAATCTCTGCATGGACACTCTTTAAAATCTTATCTCACTTGCCACATTTAACAAGCAACCTATCATCACTTTGTATATGTCAAATATATATATATATATATAAATTCATGATATTGTTGAAATCTATAACTACGTTGTTTTTTTCCTTGATTTCTTCAAGTTGTATTGTCTTCATATGTTCGTTTAATTTATTTGTTGTGGATAAATGCATTATGTACGTGCACATTTTAGGCCTTCACACAATTTCACTTTCTGATACATCTTACTTAGCATAAATTCCGCAACACCATACACCGGCCCTCAACAACTTTTCGTTTTAGGTCACTTTTGGGATCAGCTGCCATTTTGACTTTATGAAACTGATCTATTATTAAGACTGGAGCAAATAATTGTATCATCAGCATAGGTACCGAGTTGAAAACGGAAGCCATTAGGAAGATCATTGATGAAAGTTAAGAACAACATAGGTCCAAGGATAGGACCTTGGCGGACACCTGCATTTATTCAAAAAGATCTAGAAGAGTGGCCATTCAGAACAACTTTCATTTCATAATTTGATAAGAAAGATTGAATCAATTAAAAAATTCGCCCAGAAATGCCATAACTTGTGAAGAAGATCTGTATGCCAAACCATGTCAAATGCCTTCGTGATGTCCAAAACAACAGTGTGAACAACACCATTCTTAACTAAAGCTTGATAGACTCTTTTAGCAATAATCATTAATATATAGGAATTAAAATATTTTCACCCAATAAACCAGAAAAATTAACTTTGATACAAAATTTAAAATGTAGATATGTAGGCAGAATCCAACAAAGCCCATTGATAAAAAAAAATACTAATGTTACCTCCAAACAACACAGTCAAATTATGACAAAATTCTGTTGCTACTACCGTATTAAAGAACCAACAAAAGTAAACTTAATCATTAAAAACTATATATATATATATATATATAATTTACTTTTATTATCAAGGTTAGTTTTATAGTTAAGGTTAGTGTTACAAGTGTTGACAAAAAATGAAACGATTTTTGTTTCCTAATTATATAATTAAAAAGAATATACACTAACTAGCAACTAATAAAATTCAGTGAATATTTTTTATTGTTTTTGGTCTTCCCTTATCAATTTATATCCTAAAAAGATGTTATTTCGTCTGAGAAACTACTTGAATGTTAATGACCTCTCTCAAAACAATAGAAAATACCAAAATATTCTTTGTTTGCTGGGATATTTATATCTTATCTAGGAATGTGACTCAGTTATTCCCATTTAACCTCGTGTTTTTGGGGGTTTTTTTTATACAGGTTCTTTGCATATCTCCCTTGAATATTCTAAGATTTTGAGTATTAAAAAGTTATTTTAACATATGCTACCCATTGTCTGTTCCACTGCTCATCGCTCACCCAACAGTTGAAATCGCTCAGGTTGGGAAACTCTGCTGTAAACTAATGCATAGATTATTTAAAATACAAAAGGATGGAAATTAAATTATCAAACTATGAATAATTCAATGTTATGAACAATAATTATGAATTCTGTCGTCATTACAAAGCATAAGATTTATGTTAGGTTAAACTTGTTAATGAAATCTAGCTAAAATTGTATGCAGTGAATATAGAAATCATTTCTTTAAATATAGTGAAACTAATGAAATAATATCTAAAAAAAAAGTTAATTTATTGACAGATAAGTAGGATGATTAGGTCATTGAATGCGTCAAGGACCAAGTAGTAAACTCATTATTAGGTGCGGCTTTAAATCAGTAAGATAAAATATTTTTCTATTAAAACCTTAAATATGGTAAATAAATTATGCAAAATTGAAATTTGACAGAAATTTGTTTCGTCGTTGGTTTTCATCAATACAAAACAATGAAAATTATTGGTTTCATAGTTTAAAATTCTTGCGGATTACATGAAGCTATAAGATATGAAACCCTAGATTTTACGGCCAATTAATGAATCACAAACAATTAAGAGACGCCTACAAATAAATCTTACTTATTTCAGTAGATACGAAGAAGTTTTTTTTACAATTCTGTACAAACACGGCTACAAATTAAAATAAATGGTTCCTGGAACCTGATTGGATATGACAAGTCACATGATATTCTCTCTACTAAGTCCGCGCGGTTGAACTCCGAATGACCTGGAAATAGGTCAGGCATTATTTACTGAGTACATTCCAACGCAAAATTCAGATAGCAATTCGGAGACGACTCATCGCGATAAAAACAGCTTGTCAGAAATAGTCAAGACCAGATCTGCAACATACTCAATGAAGGATAGTCGGTTAAACACACTCATCGCACAAGACCAGGCCTCGGTCAACAACAAAGACACGTATCATGACAACGCGTGTGTCAGCGATGCCTTTGTTATATACAACGCCACGAAGAAAGTCTTGTCTCCCCTCTCTTTGTTCACTGTGTTTTTAAATTACTGCTATTGCACGCAGTCAGAAGTCACACGAATATTATATTAGCTTGTGCTTCACACACACACACACACACACACACACACACACACACACACACACATATTGGCGTACCATAACACTTGATTTCCCCACTTGCAACAAAAACACTTCGAAACTTTGCAGACTCACAAGCGAACAATCGAACTATTGGTTTCTTCATGGCCACAACAAAAAACATTGATTTTTAATAATGTAAATGCATGTATCTGACTGTATAAATACATGTATCTGACTGTATAGATGTTACTGTCTTCTTCCTTTGCTACGAATATCATTTCTTCACGTGGTATAAAAAATTGAGTTTTATTTGTGGACA